TATTTCTTTCCTTTATTCTTTTCCTTTTTATTTTGTTTCAATTATTTTCTATTAATTCCTTAAAATTAATTTTTATAACATAAAAATATAAAAAAAATCAGAAAGTCAAAAATAAAATATTTTTATTATTTAATTCACTAAATGTTTTATTTTGTAAATAAACTCAATAATCAATTTAGTTTTAATTTTAAGTTTTTAACTTTAATGCTTTTTCTTAGATAATTAAATTTTTTTATAAAAACAAGTCTTTTAGCATTTTTATTCTTTTTCATAATAAATAACTTTTTTCATTATTATTAATTCTTAATTATTTTGTAAATAACTTGTAATTAAATAATTAATGTAAATTAGGTCAAAATTTGAACATTTTTTATAATTAAAAACAAACTAGAGTTAGGGTTTCCTATAATAATTAATTTTCTCATTAAATTTCATAAATACAAAAAACTCCAAAAATAAGTTCTTTTCTCATTTAATAATTTAATCATTAATTCCAATTTAATTTCCTTAAAGGGTCCAACGCCCTCGCACTCGATTCTTATTTCTTCTCGCGCCGATTTATTTTTATTTCTTTTATGAATGTAATGTATTTGCCCCAAAGCCTTGTAATAGATAATTAGGCATTTACTTTCCGTACTTTTATTCAAATCGGGTCTTGGTTTAATTTGGCGATGTAGACCCGCGCCTTGTAATAGCGTAGGACCTTTATTTCCCGCACTTTAAATTCCGTACCTTTTAATTGTTAATAATCACATGAAAGAATGTATGCCCAAATAAAATCAAAGCGTAGAACACTCAATGCATGAACAAGACAAATATTATCTGAAAATGACACACAATCCACACACCATTCCTAGGGTACACCTCACTGTTGCCTTGCCCCTCGAAACGTGGTCGTCGAGTAGAGGACGTTTTAGTAAGTCCTCATGTCTATGAACATGGCATGAGGGTAGCTTCTAAGATGTCTTCCTATTGCTCTGGTGACCACACTGTCCCTACAAACGAATTGACCCGAACACCTCCAACGGTGGTGCTACCTATCTCTCAATGGTGGGATGGCACTACCTTAAGGACATTTACACAGACTAGTTCCTTAGGGTAGGTAGACGACTCGTAGATACTTGCTCTAATTCAAAACAAATCAAAAACTTCTTTTCACACCGACACTTTGCAAAAGGCTTTCAAAAAACAACTTTTCAAACACTCTTGAGGACTGATACAAGAGTCGAACTGAAATTTTAAACGAAACTTTTTTCAAACCCACTCACCTTGAAAAGCAAACAAACATTTTGAAAACACAAATGAACAAGTATCTAAGAGCCCATGGATAACCATGGATAGAAAGGGTGCTAACACCTTCCCTTTCTATAAATCTACCTCCCGAACCGAGAACTAATCTCAATAAGGAATTTTTCTGTGCTTTTGTCCTTTCCATATTGGAGAAAATAAAAGACGATGGCGACTCTTGATTCCGCGACATTTCGCGAACCAGCGTTAAACAGTCTGTTCCAGATCCACCGATCACAGTCAGCTTTGCAAAATAATAAAATATGAAAGCGAAAAAGAACAATTTTCAAGTACAAGTGGGGGGGGGGGGATGCTGTCTGGTGGGTACAGGAGATTGGACTTATGCTTTTGTCATTGCTTGTGTTCAGATAAAAATCAGATTGGAAGCTAACTTTGTGATTAAAATACTCTTTATGAAAAAAAGAGTACGTGGCTTTTTGCCATTTTATCCAAGAATGGTATTATCCAGTGGATAAAGCTTCCAATCTTTGCATAATGTATCACAAACTTGCGTAAGCCTCTGATTATGTAAAGATTTGGAAGTAACATAGCCTGACAAGTGAGATTTGGAGGATAAGGCTATGAGGTTTGCTCAATATTCTTCAAACAAGCTTGCTCGAAAGGTCCAGATTGGATTCGAAGTATACTGATTCGAAGGGAATCAAAACTCCAAAAATCGAAGCTTTGTGTGAAGGTGGCTCTTGTCCAATCGAAGGCTTTCTTGCCAAAGGTCACATGGCCAAACGAAAGGGTGTATGCAGGAGGTCCCTGCTTTGGGAGCGCTAGCATGAAGGGGAAATTATGCCTTGTGAATTTGGCAAACATGCAAAACCAATGGCTTTTGAGTCGAAGGAGAGTTGCAGGAGACCATTACTTTGTAACTTCAAGCAAACATGCAAGAGGTCTTTGCTCAAACGAAAGCTTGTACGAAGAGCCACTGTTCAAATGAAACTTTCCTGCCAAAGGTCCATATGGCCAAACAAACCTGCATTCGAAGGAGGCCACAAGCCCAAATGAAGAATGTAACCAAATCTTGTGTTGAAGGAAGCCACGCGCCCCAAGCGAAAAATGCATGCAGGAGGTAAAGGGTACAATTGAAGGAGACCAAAAAAAAGGCCTTTGCCTCCTGAATCGAAGGAAGCCAAACATGAGGATTTTCCTCTTTGAATCGAAAGAGGCCACAAAGGGTTTATTTGCCTGCTGGCCTGGTGGGAACCTCTTGCTTTGAAGCATGCAAGAAGGAAACTATTGTTCGATCGAAGGCTACCTGCAGCCAGCCATCACTTTGTGAATTAAAGCAAGCATGAAGGGAATTATTTGTCCAATAAACACAGGCATGCATGCATCAAATGTCCAATCGAAGCAGGTATGCAGGCTACCATTAATTTGTGAACCATGTAAGGTCAATGATGCAATCAAAGGTTGCATGCAGGAAGCTCCTGCTTTGTGAATCAAAGCCAGCGTGTCAGAGGCCAAGGCCCCATTGAAGGATGCAAGCCAAGCTTGCATCGAAATAGGCTAGAAGTCCAATCGAAGGAAACTTGTTTTTCCTTCAATTTTGTCAAAACAATTATATTTTATCTGCTTTGCCTTTTTTAACAGTTTCCCCTTTAACTTGATGCTGAAAAATCCAATTGTACTTACGTAAGCTTGAATTTTTTTTAGAATCCTTGTGAGAAATGCCTTGAGAAAAGAGAGGGAAAATTTTGGGGTACAACAACGGGGCTTCAACATCGGGCAATGCGAGCTCTTGACAAAGCGTGGGGATTGGTTTAACCCTTCTTCCACTTGATGGACTCAATACAAGATCTTGGAGACATGTTCGTAGCTCGGTGGAAGCGTAGGAAACGACACAGACGAAAACTGGTGGGGGTTGATTGTGAAACCTTTCCACTTGCCCCTTTTCCTTGAGGAGTTGATGATGTTTTCCATGAAAGGACCTAAAATCATCACACCGCTATGCAAGCACAAGATATAAACACACCTGCAGAATACCTACATCAAAGGTAGGGTTTTAAACAAACACAAATAGCATACTAAAAGCGGTGCCTGCTACAGGTATTTAAACAGATACTTTGAGCGCATGCTCTTTATTTCCTGCTTCCTACTTCTCATGGTCTCTAGAAAGCGATAAAGCATGGAAGTAGTAAAAGGGAAGCATAATGATACCAAACGAATAATAGTTCGTACCAACGCAAGCAGAACAAAGAAACCCGAAATACTACGTGCAAGCTAGCATCAAAAACAAAGGAACAATCAGAAAAATATCCAATGAGGATCCAATGTCGCGGTGCAAAAATAAATCGCAAGCAGAGAAATCACATCAAACAAAAATTCCTGCACAAGGCAAGTCTATACAACGAGATTATATTCAAATAAATCACATCGAGCGATAAAACGCCTTCCACCTTGCACAAATCACCAAAAGAGCTAGCAAATTACAAGGAAACGTAAGAATCACACAAATATCAAATTACAACTCGAAAATGATATCGAATCACAAGCAAAAAAATGTTCATGATTATTTGCAAAATTTAAACTCCAGAAGGCTAAAAAAATAAAAAAATAATAGGAGATATCTTAATTAATTTCTAAAAAAACAACTCTTGAAAATTCTACTAAGTTTTTTTAGTGTTTTTTTTATTACATCAATATTTTGTTAACAAAATTCAATAAAATGAAATTCTTAAAAAAATCTAAAATCAAATCGCTCATAGCGAGGTGTAAGTCAGACTCAGGGTGTTTGATTCAGTCAGCATGAGTTTGGCGCTAGGCCCATCATATAAGCCCGTAAGAAGATTTTTTAAAGATAAAAACGGGCCTAGTGATCCAACAATCTATCTTATATCCATTCAGAAATTTGTTGTGTCTTCTTTATGATTATTTATTGAATTTAAATAATAAAATGGAATAATAGAAAGAGAGGAACAATGTCGTTTAGATAGTTAGGATATGCTTAAAGGACTGAGACTCTTCGTCTCCCACGAGTCATTCAAGAGTCATTTTCTACCTCACGGAAACCAGGCACGACGGCGATCTCCGTCACAAACCAAACCCTCCACCTTTGATATTATCCCAATTTCGTCTCCATCCGATATCACTCCTCTTCTTCGTTCTTCTCTCATGGTGCGACTCTTCTTCACCAACACATCGGCGGCCATTCTCACCCGCATCATACCTCCGCTTAACTCTCCATACCTCTCCGCTCCAACCATTGTAGACTTCATCCTCTACACCGCATCAGGCTTCACGTTCGTAGTTACAGAAAGATGATGAATGTTTGAAGCTATTAAGTTTCAGTTCTGGTTCAGAAGCGTTCGAGCCATCTCCGATGCAAAATCGACGCCAAAAAAAGATATCGAGGCTTACCTATCGGAGATCGTCCGATGCGACTTCGACGACGGCGAACAGCGATAGAAACCCAGCGATCTTTAGGTAATACTTCGCGATTCCTTTACTTTCTTGCTGAAATCTTCTTCTGCGCTTGTTCTTCCAATTCTATGAACTTTACTTTTCTGAGTATCATCGCCATTGAACAATAACGATACATTATATGTGATTCATGATGTTGCGGTTATTCTTGATGCAGAAACCGTGATGGTGATGTTGCGAAGTAGTTGAAAAACGCAGAGTGAATGAATGCGGATGATGAAGCTTGAGATGCCGGTTAAGGATTCCGTCGGAGAATTGATGACAATGGGAGGTTTTCGAAGATGAAGATTGAAAGCGATTCTGGCGATCGATCAAGGTTCTTGGAGAATTATGCGGCCGGTTTTCTTCTGAGAATTCAAGAATGGATTTCTGGTCAGTTTGTTATAACTGGTTTCTCTGAAATAGTCAATTCTCTTTTTTAGTCCCTTTTGCGAATCTTTCTCTTTTTTTCCATAAACTATCGATCTCTGTTTCTGTTATAAGCTCAAAGTTGGTTAGGTTTCTGTTAGAGATTGATGGTTATGAAATTAGTTTCAGTTAGTTGGGTTTTGTTTGTCCTATGTAGTTAGGGTGCACTTTGAAGGTGGTCAGAATTTGTTAGGAAATTGATGAGCTGTCATTGGCGGTTATGAATTCTGTTAACTTGGTTTGTTAGTGATAACTGAATTGGAGGGCTAATAAAATGACAAAGGTTAGTGAATTGGTTTTTTGGGTTAGCTATTCTGGAGTGAATTGACTTAAAAGCTGAATCGGTTCCACTGGTTTTATTGAATGAGCTGACACACTTCCTTAATTTTTGTATGTTTGACTTGTAAGTTTAAGAAATAAAGTCCCTTTATCATTCCCCTTCACTTTTCACATTTTAAGTTTTGAATGGGACTCCCTCTTGAATGAAGCCTAGTGTGTAAGTCAAATACCCAAAGTGATGTACTAAGTGATTTATTTGGAAATGTGGTACTGATTACTTTCTTGAACTATTGATTTTTCGAATGAATCTTGACATTTTTGGATTGATGATTTGACGAATCTTGAATTCGTACTTTAGATTCTCCTTGAATAATACTTCAGTGAATGAATCTTCCTTGAAACCATATGAATGAATCTTCCAACCCTATCTTGAATCCACCATTAATAAATCACGAACTTAATAAGACCTTGAATCCACCATTAACAAATCACGAACTTAATAAGACCTTGAATCAATATTAATTTCGAGCATGATTAGAAGTTTCAACGAATCTAAATCAATTATGATTTCTCTCAAAATTCCAAGTTAATTTGTAATTGGAGTAACAAGTATTTGATGAGAATCAAAAATTGTATCATTCAAAACAGGTCTACAGTGTTGAAGGTGATAGACTCAAGATGACCATAAGATCAAACCCTGGTTGAAGCATAATAAATTAAAAATCCCGATCTTATGAGAAGTACACTGAATGAAGAAACAAATTAACATCAAAGCCATAACTCGCAGTCTTCTCAGTTAGAATCATTGATGAAGGAATACATTGAATAACCTTGAATGGGAGGGATATCCTTGAAGCCACAGAAATCCTAATTTCACGCATTCACAGATTGAACAAGAATCAGGAGAATCAGGAACATCAAGCTTTATTTGACATGTACACCTCAAAAGAATAGGAAAACCTTGACATCGCACGCCCACTGAACTTTTGAACCACAGTGCTTTATTGAATGCAATGTTATGTAAAATGTCCTAATGGAATATATGCAGATTAATGCAAAAGTCTAAGTCTAGCATCATGAGAATTGAAAAAATCGTGCCTGTAATGGGTTACATGATTTTGGTAACTGGTTACAACGTTTGTCAAATCAGTTCCAGTAGCCTGAGAATCCATAAAATCGTGCACGTAACTAGTTACACGATTTTGATAACCGGTTACACCACCTGTAACACCAGTTCCAGACAGCTCGACACGCTTCAGTTGTCAACCATGACATCCCGACTGATCACGATCTTCTTGTTTGCAACATCAAAAAACACATAATCTTTAGTAGGATGATAACAAACAAGTAACATCACCTCACCTTTGTCATCCAACTTCTTTCTAAGTTGACCCGAAACATGTCGATACGTTATCGAACCAAAAACTCTTAAGTTGCTCAGATTCAGTTTAAATCCAGACCATACCTCTTTTGGAGTTACATTCTCAAGCTTCTTTGTAAGACACCTATTCAACAAATAGGCAGCTGCGGAAACGACTTCCCCTCATTGATTTTTCAGCAAGTTTTTCTCTTTTAACATGCTTCTAACCATGTTCATAATCGATCGATTTTTACTTTCGACAACACTGTTTTGTTGCAATGTAATGGTGTTTTTCTACGAAATAATCGCTAGCCTCTTATTAAAGGTTACTTGCGGGACAGATACAATAATCCCGAACTTAATGTGTTGATGATTGTTTTTGGGTTGAAAAAATGATATAAAGAGGCAAAAGATAAAGACAAATGCGAAGTAAAATCAAAGATTGTAAAATTGCTGAGAATTTAAATATGAAAGCATTCATACATTGTTAAGCTTGAAACTCGTTTCTCTCTTAGATGAGGGTACTTTGAGTGTATTGCTATTAAATGCAAAGGAATGCAACCACTAACACAAATACATGAATTTGCTTAAATACACATCCTAAATAAGTAATTATCGACGGTTACTAGCCCATTTTTGGGCTTCGTGGGGACTGTTTGAACACTCCCACGTTCTTGCTGGTTTTGCCTGTTGATAACCGTTCCTGCCAATGTGCGTTCCTCTTCTAGCTTCTTCGACCTTTGTCTTTGTCGAGAGTTGTATATGCTTTACCTGCTTTGTTATCGACTATCCCATTTGGTCGACATCCTCTCAAGGCTTGATGTATTTTGTCGTTTTCCACCATTCTATGCCTTTTAACAAGACAAATTCTCATAGTTTTAGGTTCACTCCTTTAGTCGAAAATTACTTGTCAATAAATTTCCCCCCAAAATGCCATGTTCGACGGAGGCTTGTTGATGGGAGAATACTGGCATTTTTTCTTCCCAATTTTCGACGGCACACCTTTCTTGAGATGACGTGATGCGCAATCATGACTACTTTCTGCGCAGCAGTTTCCCATGTCACCTCCATCATTTTTCATGATTACTCCTAGGTTTTAGGGTGTGGGTTTTTGAACAAACCCCACTAACTCTTTGCCTGCTCGCGCTATTCAAGCGCCATTTGTTATGATCTTAACGGTTCTGATCCCTCCTTAAATAGCCTTTTAAGAACTCAACATCTCTTTCTTCTGCTTTAGTTTCCATCTTCCAGTTTTGAAAAATTCCTAGCAAAATTTCTTCTGATTTTTTGCAATGGTCGCTCCAATTGATATTCCTTTTACTGGTGATAACCCCATGGCTTACACCATCTCTGCTAAACAAAGCTTAAACTTTATTCCAAATCCTCCTATTAAGGTGAAATCAAAAGTCCAGACATGGCAACACCAAATGCTGATCCCCTTTGTTGTTGTAAGGAAACTTTTCGCATTCCATGGTCCTTACCCTGGTCCAAAAACGAACCCTAAAACGACCAGTCAATACTTTCCCTGCTTTCTTCCTGCTATCCCTTCTGCCTTTAATCACACAAAACTCAATGATGTCAGGTTTTTGGTAAAGCAATCCTAGACTTTGAAGCTATCTATTTTTTATGAATATTTTACTCAAGTACAACATAAATAAGTATAGGGATTTTTTTTGTTGGCTACTCAGAAATAAGTACCGGGATTATTTTTTGTTCGGCTACTCATGGTTCCAATTCTTTTTAGGATAATTTATGATCCCACTCCAGTTGTAGTTTCTCCCCTTTTTTCTAATAGTATTCTTTCATGATATTTTTAATTTATTTTAATAAGGTTTTTGTATAAATTAATTTGTTTAATCAAATGCAAATGTGTTTGAATGTAAAATGATGTTAGTGCTAGTGTGCCACCAAATTTGGCCCTGAAATGGTGTATGTGGAGTATCTAAATACTAGTGTTCTTCAAGTTTAATCAAATGAAAATAAAGCAGAATTAGTTTTTATTGGTAATAGTTATTTTTTTGGGTCTAACCGTAGATCTGGAAGATCATCCATGAATGTCTGTGTGGTGTTGGCTAAAAGGAACGGTTTTAAAGTTCAAACATAGAGGCACCGTGTTTTAGTTGAAAATTTCACCAATCAAATTAGCCTGTTATTGCTTAAACCATTTGCTGGAACCACACCAGGGGAAGTTTATTGACGCTATCTTATATATCTCCTCAGGACAGCTTTGGGGGAAGCACATAATGGAGAAAACGCCTTTGCTGATTCATTAGAAGCATTTGGAGGAGGCTACGACGACCCTGTTAGTGTATCAGTTGGAGGTTGTTCAAATTTATTAATATATTGTTTTACTTCCTCTTCTTCGTACGCGTTAAGGATTTCATGTGGCAGTTCTTTTGTGTTTACAGAAGAACTATATTTTCGTTTGGTGATAAAATTGTTAATTACTTAGTTTAGCATGTAAAAACACTGAGTTCGTTTATCAACATTGTCCTATTTTAGGAGTCTACAGCTTAAATTATTTTTCCTTGTAAAATGTTTTTACTTCACTGAACTTTGCCTTAATTAGTGAAGGACTTTTATCTCTTTTTTTTAAGAAAGGCAAAATGAAAATATTAAACAACCGCTCCAATGTATTTTTATCTAGTTCTTGATCACGCTTTCTTTTGATGATTACATAATGCTATAGTTGCTTTTTATACCATTTGACTTACTTGGGGACATCTTTGTCACAATTCAAGCTATGCATAAGCTGTCTTTGTTATTTGATGATAAGTGGGATATTTGACATCCACCAAAGATATTCCTGACCATTGCTAAGAGTTAAGTGTATTTTGCTTTCTAACCAGGACCTGTCATATCTAAGTTTATCACTGCACTACGTGAGTTAGCTACTTTTAAAGAGCTTCTTCGCTCACAGGTGAGTCCTTGAACCAAAATGCTGCACTTTTTTCTTGGAATTTCAATAGATAGTAGTGATTGCGAGACCTGACGTGTTTTACTTTGAAAACAAATTTGTTTAGTCTGCTTATTCAGCTTGCTCAAATTTACTAAAACTAAGATCAAGAAAACAATCCTTTTGATTTCTCTTTCATAGTAAGTTGATGAGTTGGATTTTTGTATTCCTGTCTCTTTTTGCTGAATATATTTTATACTTATCATTCATGTAGTAATAAAACAAAAATCATGTGACTGGTTCTGTTTTTCTCCATTGTGCTTTGTTGTGCATGAGTTGTGTTGTCAAAAGACCTAAGTTGAACAGGCAAAAACATATTCAGCTATCCATTTCTCTAATCCATATAAAAATAAAGTGGAACATCAACTACAATTTCCTCATCCAAAATTTTTGAAGCAGTGTGTAAATGATTACTTAACCTGTAGAAGTTCCCTGTTCACCTTTTCACTGGAAGAAGGAAAGTTCTGAAGGCTCCAACTTTTGTATAATAAAAATTGAATAATAGTTGAAAACTCCTTCTCCCATTTAAGATCTTCTTTTCACGAATCTTTGCTGGACAAGATAGACCTATTAGGTTGTTTTCTAAAGGAATAGAGAGATCAAAATAGTTGAAGAGAGACAGTTGTATACTTATTTATGGTTGGCATTATCCTAAGATATCTTCCTCATGCTTTATTGACAACTTGTCTTAGTTTTTTTTTGTTTGAGAAATTACTTGACATATTTCTTTTAAAGGTAGAGCATGTATTGATTGACCGGTTGTCAGAGTTTCTAAATGTTGATTTGCAAAATGCAAAGGTATTTACTTTTTTTCCCACCCTCAAGTTGATGTTTCTACTGTAAAGGTTTTATGTACATCATCTGTTTAGTGAAATTTCTTAGACTTTCTCTCTTCTGATTCCATCCATTTTTGCTTATATCAGGAATCTCGTCGTCGTTTTGACAAATCTGTGCAATCGTATGATCAGGTTTTAAGAAATTATAAGCTCTATACTCAAACTGTGAAGTGAGTTTTTAACATTATTCTATTTGCAAATACAATCAGTAATTTTGGTAAATCAAACTGCATTCATAAGTGAACGTTATATTTTCTTGATTAGACATTCTTCTTACAAATCAGTTCTTGTGTTGAACATAGGCTAGTTGGTATCTTTTGTTTGTGACATCTATTTTTGGGTATTCATCCTGTTTATTTGACTCTTTTTTCTTTCGTTAAGCCATTATTTACTGTTTCAAATACCTCAAAAGAGTTACTAGTGTGTTTTTTAATCTTTTGATGTGATGGTTAAATTGTGTTGTTGGTGCATAAGAATTTTATCTTATATCGTAATTGGCTGTTGTTGGTGCATAAGAATTTTATCTTATATCGTAATTGGCTGTTGTTGGTGCATAAGAATTTTATCTTATATCGTAATTGGCTGTTGTTTATGCGTTATTCTTGCAATTTATATTTATCACTTCATTTTATTTGTCTCAACTGAACTGGCAGTTGTTTATGAAAAATTATATTTGATTAGAGTTTAGTTATTCCTACAGCAGTAGCAATCCTTGATATTTTGAGATAAAATAAATTTTAGAAAATACACCTAACTGCTATTTTAGCAATCAAAGTACTCTTGTAACCATCGTGATAAGGCTTGCATAGGTTCAAAATGGCCTAGGTGCTAATTTAAATTCTTTAGTTTTGTCTATCATGCATTTCTTTTTTTTTTTTTGAATAGTCTATTATGCATTTCTACTTTGTACATGTATGGCACTTTTGAAAGCAGGAATTTGCTTGCATTCTTGACTTCAACTTATAAATCTTCCATTTATCTGATTTTTTATTTCTTTTTTGATTACATTGAACCCAGATACCCAATTGCTTACAGTAGTATTGGTTTCTAACAGTTTGTGTATCTCTTTTCTACAGTCACGAGAAAAGTTTGTTTCTTTGAAGAAGAATACTCCTGAAGATATTGTTGCTGAATTAGAAGAGGTTTGCCGTATCAATTAGTAAATGATCAGCCGCTTCTCCCTTATCTTATGATGTGCCATGATTACAGATTGCAGTGAAAAGTTTGTCAGTTCAAGAGTTATGCATGTGCACTTATTTTACCTGTTAGAGTTTATATTTGAGACCTAGTTTAGAAAGTGGGCCTGTTTATTTTAGCTTTAAAGAAATAGATTTTTGTTTTTGTATTTTCAAAAAACATTTTTTAAAATATTATAAGTTTTTTAAATTTGTTTTTTGTAAATTGAAAGACTAATTTTAACATCATGTAACATACATATACATTATTGAAGATTAAAACATAGTCAAAATCACAATTTAAAAAAAAAGATGTATCTCAAAAATGATTTTTATGAAAAGCTATTTGATATAGCTTCAAATTTAAGTGATTTTTGTTTATATTTTGATTTCCAAAAAATGTTATAGCAAAATGATGAAATAACTAAAATAATATTTTAAGAATAACTATTTAAACCAATTTTTCATTTGAAGTTTTTTAAAAAAAATCTTTGTAATTTAAAAAAAAATAAAAATATGTAACACTATAAAAATCATTTTTAGAAAAAGCTGAAACAAACGGGCCCTGTATTTCATCACTTTCCTGCTTAAATATAATTTGTTACTCTTATGGTAATGAATATTGAAGTGATTTGTGTTCTTTGTCTTGCTGACTCCTTAGTTTTGTATTTAGTGGTAAAAGGTTGAAAAAGTTTCACCATTTTTATACTCTTCATCATTCGTCCTTTAGAATTAAAAAACCTCAATCTACGATAGTTCATTATTCTTTCTTTAATAAGTAACTTGAAAAGAGACAACCTAAAAATGATATTGCTGAGATATATCTTGTGAAACCTTGGCACAGTGATTGGTGCTGCTTCTATGTGACAAATAGTTCACAAGTTTGAGTTATGGAGTTAGCTTCTTACAAATACAGGCTAAGGCTATGTATAATAGATTTACAGTGGGTTAGATCCTTTCGGGTCCTTGCCATCACAGGAGCTTTATAGCACTAGGTTTCCCTTTTCACATATCTTGTGAATTCAGCAATACTGCTTGGTTCACGTAACCAATTCACCTAGTGGAATAAGGCTCGGTTCTTCTTGTTATTGTTGGTTTTGATTCATAGAGGACTCTACACATTTGCTGACATTTATAATCCACTGCATTCTCTCTTTATTTGTCATATTCTTTAACAACTATCGGTAAGTCCAATATTTAATCAATTGAGTAATGCTATTTAGTACGAATGAATTTAAGTAAGAAACACAAGAATGTACATGTGTCATTGATTTAGTGGATAATTTTAATTTATTATAAATTGAATTTCCTTTTTAATAGGGATCATGGGGGTGGTTGTGATAAGGAATGGTTGAGATTTATTCTTGTCTTTCTTGTTTTCACTTTTTCTTACAAATAAGCATTTTCCTTAATCAATTATATGATACTTTGATCAATGACAGGGTCTACAAAATTCAAAGTCATCGTTTGAGAAAAGCCGCTTCAATCTAGTATGTCTTTTACAGTTATTAATGTTTTGTTCAGACATTTCAACAACCCTATTTATTTTATGACTTTGGCTACTGGATTTTAAGGAGTGCAGGTACACTCTCTCATGAATATTGAAGTGAAAAAGAAGTACGAGTTCTTGGAGTCGATAAGTGCAATAATGGACGCTCATTTGAGATACTTTAAACTGGTCCGTAAATTGGTTGCTTATTCTTCATGTTTGAATTTTCATGGTTTATTATTATTTTGCACTTAACATGTCATCTTATACTTTAGGGTTATGACTTACTGAGCCAAATGGAGCCTTATATTCACCAGGTAACTAGTGTTTTTGTTCATTTCTTACAAGGGAAGATATTTTATGATTATCAGCACATTGGATCATGTTAAGATATGGTATAAAACTATTCATGCCTCTAAACCTAATAACCTAAGCTTTATGGTTCTGGCATATAATTAGAATTAGAAATGAAGTTTCTATTATTCAGTGCTTGTGATGGAAGCCATACAAATAACAGAAGAAATAGCAAAAGTGATAAAACAGTAACATAATTAGGCCAAATATATTATTTGTATTAATAGAAATGAATGAGATCAGCAGCATGTACTAGAGAATGTAATGGAATATCATGGAGCCTAAGCTCCTAACCAAAGAATGATCTCCTTCTAATAGATTTCAGCAAAATGTCAGAATGGAATCCCCCTCATTCTGTGCCTATCCTACTGATGTACTCCCCTAATTGATTGGATAGATTAGGCACCATTTCTAAGTTTGTGAACTCAATATCATTCTCTACGAGTTATTTAACCCACATTATTGGTTATAGTGAGCAAGAGAGCACATGAAAAATAATCCTCTCCTATATGTTATATTTGTTTGTGAACAGAAATTTTTTTAAGGACTATGCCCCAAACTCCACTAGTTGTGGAAAGTTTTACCGTAAAACCCTATCCTAGTGCTCTTGATACCATATTGAAGAGAATGGTAAATGTTGTTATATTTTATTCCTTAGACTCAGACTCCGTTTATATAGTGGGAATTCCATAAATTACCATTAATTCTCTTTTTAATGAAGAATAAAGGAAATTAATGGAGAATAAATAGAAACAAAAAAATAGGGAAATAAAATGTTTTCCAACACTTGTATCCTATATTTCTGGAATATGATCCAAACAAAAGAAATTTTGAAGGCTAGTGATTGTCTCTAATGTCTCATTTAATGTTTACTCGCAATGTTACTTGCGGGTAGCAAAAAGTGTTGATTTAAATCCTTGCCCAAACAAAATTTATTATATACTATTTGATTAAAGAAGTTAGTAGATGTACTAAATAAAGGGAGCATCATTACGGGGGCCGAGTGTTTTGTTTGTGTTCGAATTTCTTGTATCATGTATGTAATTTGAATTTCTTGCAGCTTGAGAAGATATCTCCTGCGAGTTGTTATCTTATACTTTTACTATGAAGGCATTATTCTGCTCTTGTTTTGTTTATTCTATGCTGTTTGTTCTTCGAACTGGCTTGGAGCACATAATAAATAATATGTCGTAATTGTACATTGTGACTGTTGAATATATACGCTTTGAGTAAGTTTTGTTTTATAAGGATCAAGTTTGAAGTAATCTCATAAATATTTGATGCTGGTGGCTTTGAAAACTCCAAACTAGACCGCGTCGTGCAAATTCACTATCTATTTTATATTTGGTGGCTGTCCTTAACTTAGGTGCTAACGTATGCTCAACAATCTAAAGAAGTGGCTAATATTGAGCAAGATAAGCTTGCAAAACGGATCCAGGAATACAGGACACAGACAGAAGTTGAAAATATACCCATGCCAGGTGCTGATGGCACCCATCCTGTAGGTTTGAATTCTTACAAAAGCTTTGAAGCAGGATGCAGTCTGCAACCAAAGGTGAGGCAAGTAATTCACATTTTCTGGTTAATAAATGATAATTCTCCAGTTCACGATAGGTACATTGCTTTTTATCTTTATTTTGATGTTATACTTAGTCTTGCAGTGTAATTTTTTTCTCCCTGTTTTTAGATTCAAACAGTTAAGCAAGGCTATCTGTTAAAACGATCATCAAGGATGCGAGGAGATTGGAAAAGAAGGTTTTTTTGTACTTGATAACCATGGGAGTTTATATTATTACAGATCAAAAGGACCCAAACCCGCGGTAGGAATACTTTTTTCATATCTGAAGCAACTCAAGCAATCTACTAATGTTTTTCTTTGAAATATGTTTACAGGGATTTCAGTCATATAATTATAGTCGTTCTTCTGAACAAAATAGTGGCATGTTTGGTAGATTCCGTTCAAGGCATAGTAGGGCAGCGTCACTAAATGAGGATATTTTGGGTTCTTGTACAGTTGATCTGTGCACATCCACTATAAAGATGGACGCAGAGGATACTGATCTACGACTTTGCTTCCGTATCATTTCTCCCTCAAAAACATATACACTGCAGGTGACCGAGGGAATTATTTCATATTTTCGAATGAGTCATATAATCAGCCTCTGTAATGTTTAAAATTATCTTGGTGAGAACCAAAAAAATGTTCTTTGTACCGACCTCTCATTTGTTTATTTATTTAAACGTAAATATTAAAAAATTGACATTCTGTTTGTTAAAGTTGTCAAGGTTCCTTGTTAGATCTTCTATCAATTCATGTATCCTAGTCTATTTTTCTTTTGGATTGATTTCTTTGTTAGTTTACTTTTAAAGTGATTTCACCAGGCTGAAAATGAAGCTGATAGAATGGACTGGGTAAACAAAATTACTGGAGCTATCACCTCGCTTTTTAATTTTCAGTTTCTTCAACAGGTTATCCACTCAACTTTTTTGAAACGTAAATTCTTACCAATATGTCCATAATATGATGTGATGTAAACATTTTTCCATTTCTAATTGCTGCAGCCTCATTATGGTAAATTGCAATTACAAAATAAAAACTCAGCAACTGGTTCTTCCTTGACAAGTCAACAAGAGGATAGTAATAAATCTTCGATGGATGATGTATATTCCAAAGAAGTGGGTAGTGTCTCTAAAATTTTAAGGGGAATTCCTGGGAATGACAAGTGTGCTGAGTGCAGTACTCCTGAACCAGACTGGGCATCTTTAAACCTTGGTATACTGCTGTGTATTGAATGCTCCGGAGTGCATCGCAATCTTGGTGTTCATATCTCAAAGGTGCATTCTTCCAGACAAATGCAAACCATTTATTTTGCTTCTGCGTTTATCATGTATAACAAATTTATTTAACTGGATTGAAGATTTTCATGTTTAACATTGAAGCATTCATGGGTTGAGATCTTAAACTTCTAGTTCCTGGTTCATTGTTCTAGGATATTTATATAAAGTGCTTATAAATTTTCCAACTCTTTTTTGGGTAAAAAGCTTTCACTTTTAGAATCTTATTAGTTTCAACCTAGGTTGTTAATCTCAGCGGCGCATAGTGCCGGACTCCCAAAATGCTATAGCGGCATAGCGGGATGACCGCTATTGTGAGCTTTAAAAACCAAGGTAAATACTTAAAATGAATTCATAAATACTTAAAATAAATTCCAACAACATACATAATGCTTTAAAAATAGAAGTTGCAACAAAATACATAAATTCCAACAACACCACAATATAAGTTCTCATCATAATCAAATTATAAATGTGCTCAAAATGACTAAACCAAATTCTAAACATAAACAATGACTAAATCACATCCGCCTCATTTTCCCTTCTAAGTTCCACCACATTAATATCATCTTGCTCATCACTTGATTCAACTTCAAACTCTTCTTCTTCCACCTCCAACTCCGCATCTCCATTAGACACCTATGTAGCAAATCTAGAGTTATGTTTAGTAACTCTTACTGTGTTAACCGCTTGCTGAGTTTTAGCTGTTGCTAATTTTTAGGTTGAGAAGAAAGTGGAAGAAGCAGATTTGCGAAGAGTGAGAGAGAGAGAGAGAGAGCGGTAACTTAGATTCCACCGTTTGTTGAATTTGAGTGAAGCTGAGATTTAGTCGTTAGCTGATTTTTAGGTTGAGAAGAAAATTGAAGAAGCAAATTTGCAATGAGAGAACGGTAACTTAGGCTCCACCGTTTGTTAAATTTGAGTGAAGAGAGAAATGATAATGACCTAAAGCATCAATATCATATTTTATAATAAAAGGAAAAAATACCAATTTTTCCTTAAAAAAATTAAAAATTGCAATATTGCCCACATCTTCACAATAGCGGTCTGTAAAGTGCTACAGAACTGCTATTGCGCCGCCATAGCACCGCCACGACTTCCCAAATAGCGGCCGCTATTTCCGCTATCGCAGATAGCGGTTAGCAGGCCAAAAGCGTAGCGCCGAGGTCCTGCACTGCTACGCTATATCGCTGTTATAGCGCGCCATCGACAACCTAGGTTTCAACTTTTGAGAAATAATCTACACTTTTGTTTGTCTTTATAGTTGAACTGAATCTTTCATAAATAAGGTGATTTCTGACTTGAAATTTATGAGTCCTGATTGTTAACCGTTTCCTTACGGTCATTAAATTTTATCTACCAACTGCAGGTGAGATCTATAACGTTAGATGTGAAGGTTTGGGAACCTACCATTTTGGAGTTATTCAATAATTTAGGTAATACTTTTTGTAATTCTATTTGGGAGGGCTTGCTTCTGCTTGGTGATGAAAGGTATACTTTTGATTCTCTTTAATGCAATGTACAGTATGCGCTTTAATTCTCGTTGAGTTATTCAGTAGCTGAGCTTGTAAACCTTTATTTTCTGGGAATAATTATCTGCAGAGTAGGTGAATCAAATGTGCCTTTGAAACCATGTTCCACAGATCCCTCCCAATATAAAGAAAAGTACATCCAAGCAAAGGTAAGCACTTTCAGTTAAATTTCACTTTTCTATTGGTAGGTTTCATGGTTTACTGTAATAGGGGCAGCTTGATTATTGGTATTTTAGATATGTCACAGTAAGACATCAGACACGAGTGAAATAATGTAATTATGATGATTTTTTAGTTTGTCTGTTAAATAAGTATTCTTTTTCCCATTATATAATGACTCTTCTGGCCACTGAGGAAACTTTTAAAAATTATTTTGTTGTGAATTCGATAATATATTTACTAATACCCAAAAAAACCAACACTCACGATTACAAATGTTTCTAAAATTATCAAAAGTCTTATGGATGTAGTTATCATTTATCAACTATGTATAGTTTGGCCTTCCATTGGAAACGAATAGTATTTTGTGGATTTGACTTCATCTTTCTGGACATAATTACTGGTTTCATTACTAATAGAAATAAGACATTTGACAGTGTTACTTATATGGAGAGACCACTTTTGTTCGTAAGAATTGCTCTCTGATCTCATACATTATTTCTACTAATCATATGCCAGTTTATAATTTCTGTGCCATGTTATCTGATTAAAGCCTCTGTTTTCTTCAATATTTATACTGAGGTAAATATTGTTGTAACTTATGTTTTGTTAATCAGTATGCAGAGAAATCACTAGTCATCCGGGAAGAGGACATACCCGAAAAACCTTCAGTTTCCACAAAAATATGGCAAGCAGTTCAGGCTATAACTGTACGAGAAGTGTATCGCCTTATTGTAACATCAACTTCAAATCCTATAAACACAAAATTTGAAGAGGCGGTTTCCCATGCAGAGACTGAAAATCATCAGCATGATCCTGAAGCCTGTCTGAGGATTAAGGAGGCTAATGAAACAGAGAGTTGTTTCCGCGGTTGGTCTTTATTACACCTAGCATGTCATTCTGGCAGTACATTAATGGTTGAGCTGTTGCTCCAATTCGGCGCTGATATAAACATGCGTGATTATCATGGAAGGACTCCCTTGCACCGTTGCATTTCTAGTGGGAAAAATTCATTGGCTAAGTTTTTACTAAGAAGGTAATGCTATATTTATGACAACTTATTGCTGAACAACCAGCTGAGATTCCATCTATGATTTCTTAAATGTCCGGAACTATTTTGCATTATTTACATGTTTTATGTGTGAGATACACACTTGTATTGCAGCATGTATTTCTGGCTAATACATAATTCCAATAAAAGCATAAACTAACATGTGAATTTACCAGGGGCGCAAAACCATCAATTAAAGATGCTGGTGGACATACTGCACTTGAAAGAGCAATGGAGTTGGGAGCAATAACTGACGAAGAGCTATTTATCTTGCTTGTTGAATGCTAGTAAAGATGGAACTGGTATATATATTATACTAGTATTTAAAACCCGTGCAAAGCACAGAAAAATTACTGTCGACTGAAAGTTTATAGCATGCCTCTTAGAAATGGAGATTAAGGTCTGTTTCTACTGTCACACATGGTTACACTTGTATTAAACAGATTTTTAAAAAGAAATATTTGGATGAAGTGCAGATTTTGAATGAGTTTATTAGTGTTATTATTATAGACTATTCTGGGGCACCCGGTTTTGATATCATAGACTATAAAGGGGTTGAAGTATAAAGTCCAGCACCTGTCTGACGTCTCTTCCAGAAGTCCAATTGCCAGGATCTTTCTCACGAGTTGGGTGTCTCTTTTGTTCTTATAGAAGACGAACTGTATTATTCCTTTGAGACATGAGATGCTCGGTGATACAATTTATACCAACTCGCTTGATGAAGCATTCATTCGTTCTCTTGAAAGAATCTTCTATGCATATTACTCAGGGGCACCTGACCATTCGATTAAAGATGGTATGTCATCCAGAGACAAGGTCCAAGATGGAATCAATCTAGAGACCATTGTGTTCATATCAGATCAGAAGGGGAATTCTCTCGCCCACTCAAGCATCAAGACTACAGAAAGTCGTCAAAATCAAGAAATCCATACGGAGTCAAGTCTCCTCAAAGATGGCAGCCATTGGTTCTCTTTAGTGCATTTTCATTTGTATTCTTACTTGTTTGTTTAAACATTGATTGCATGTAGAAACTTGTATATTTTTGAATGAAAGTTTTAATGCAATAGGTATGATTGTCTTGAAGTGTTCCTTTCGTTTTTATTCATTCGTTCATTATCACTTTAAATGTTTTACTTGCATATTGATGACACATTTCCTAGTCTTATGCTTAGGTAAAGATTGGAGGCAGGATGGCGATAATCTAAAAACGCAAAATCTCTGGTCGGTACGCTTTTGAGTAAGACTCTGCTGACGATGTACAGGTTAGACCCTCTTAAAGTTTCTTTTTCTATACTAGTTTCAATTGCAATTTTTGATTAATCATGGCGATTGAATTTTTGTGATATTGGTAAATAAAAGTAATTTTTTTTCGAGGAGTTTCAAAAAGTTACAAAGGGAATTAAGAGCTTAATCCTCGTCAAGAAAATTCAAGGAGATTTTGGTAGAGTTTTCTTATTGCTTGCGTGGTTTCGAAGAGGCAACGGACCTTCTCCGTTCGGTATCATCACAATCTCACTTTTATTCCTTATTTCCGCGCTTTATTGCTTTCTAGATACCATGAGAAGTAGGAAATAAAGAGCGTGCGCTCGAAGTCGCTGTTTAAAGACCTGTAGCAGGCATTCTGCACTTCATTTGCTATATGTGTTGTGTTTGTGTTTGTTTACTTTCTTGTTGATCGATGAGTCACTCAATTTAGAAATTGAGATCACGACTTCGCTCTCAGTGCATGCTCCCTATAGGATTTTATCGCTTTTCTTTATTTCCTGTTGATCGATGAGTCACTCAATTTAGAAATTGAGATCACGAATTCGCTCTCATTGCATGTTCCCTATAGGATAGTTTTGTTAGACTTTCTTTGGCATGCTAACTAAGATAGGATCTCTCTAGGTGTGCTCTCTTGAATTTATTGCCTTGTTTGCCTTATCCTTGTACATATCATGTTCTCTTAGGACGTGCTTGCTCCCTTCGGACGCAAATTAGACCTTAGTTTGTAAGCCATGCATGCTAACATTAGGTAGACGTTTCCCTTTTGTTAATCCAAACCTTAAAACTACCATTGTATGATACCATTAAGTTTAGAAATAAGTTAGTCTCCCTTAGACCCTTTTCTTCACCTTTTTGCATCCTTGCATCTAAAACTAAAATCTTTTCTTAGCAAATCAAAAACATGTTAATCTTACTTAAACTCTTTTTCAAAGTAACAAAACACAAACCAATTCAAACCACTTTTTACGCTCGAGCACCTTTTCTCTAAAATCCTTTTCAGGTAAGGACATGATTAATTTACTTCTGTGAGAACACATAAATCTCCAAAGGTCGAGTTGCGGCAGATGACAGAATTAGCATTGTCCATAAAAAACACAAACAGACAAAAATATATAAGCCGAACTACGGTAGCTCTGATTCCACAAAAAGGATACGTAGGCATTGAGTTAGGGCCCAAGCGAGTACAGTTTTATTTTCTCTATATTCTTTTCTCCTTTCTTTTGCATGCATTCTCCCTTTAGTAGTATAGTAAACAATAAGCATAGATTAAACACACCCATAAGATAGACAACAAGAGTGGATACCGTAGAGTACTACGGGCGTGTGGGGTGTTAATACTTTCCCTTCGCGTAATAGACTCCCTTACCCGATCTCTCGGTCGCAAGACCGTGACTTCTCCCTTCTCAGGTTTTCTCGATGTTTACCTTTCCCTCCATATGGGATAAAAGACGTTCGATGGCAACTTCATTGTTTGATGATTTTCAGCCGGTTGTTTCAGCTGGCGAATTCACTGGGGACAGGTCGACCAAATGCTGGTCCATCCCAGAGTCGCTCTTAGCTCTTGCTTTCTTTTCTTTGGGTGTTTATTTTTTATGCTTTCAGTTTATTCACTCATTTTGTATATACTTGAGCATACGTATGCATTGCATTTTTTATCACAGGTACAAATGATGATTATGTTTAGTTGGTGACTATGTTCAGATGGTTACTCGTATTCAGATGGTGACTATGCTCAGACAGTGACTATTGGTTCTATTGGTTACGTTCTGGATTTCTGTCAGTGACTTATGCAGATGGTGTTTTGTTGGTGATCATATGGTTCTCAGATTTATTTTCTGAGTTTTTGATTTGTATATTTGGAGGTTCATTCGAGCCTTCGATCTTGGTATTCCCAGCATGTTCAGAAAGTGCTCAACAATATTTGGTGTTCCAGAAGCCTTGATTCCGTACTATTGAGATCTACATGGTACTTGGTTCTTATATGTGCAGAAGTTATGCCAGACCTTTGATCTGATAATATTCATATGATTCAAAAGCAGTGCAACAATCATGTCCAGAAATGACGGAACCTTGATCTCATTTGATCCCATGCCTTTGCATACATAACATGGTTAACCACATGGTTAACATACATGTTCTATTATTTCCAAGGAATCATATTTGCAAGTCTTGTGCTAAACTCTTCCATCCCTTACTTGCGTAAAATCAAAATCAAATCACGTAAATTCCTTGGAAATGACAGAACATGACATTCATTCATGCACTCCATGCATATTCATGCATCCATGACAGGTACTCAAAGATTGGGGATTATTATTCAGGCCTGGTATTCTCTTCAAAGGTTCAACTTGATTTCTCACCGCACATGTTCAGGGATCAGTTATGGAATAGCTCTGAGTTATATACATGCAAGCTCTGAGTTATATAGATGGAATCAATCTAGAGACCATTGTGTTCATATCAGACCAGAAGGGGAATTCTCTCGCCCACTCAAGCATCAAGACTACAGAAAGTCGTTAGAATCAAGAAATCCATACGGAGTCAACTCTCCTCAAAGATGGCAGCCATTGGTTATCTTTAGTGCATTTTCATTTGTATTCTTACTTGTTTGTTTAAACATTGATTGCATGTAGAAACTTGTCTATTTTTGAATGAAAATTTTAATGCAATAGGTATGATTGTCTTGAATTGTTTCTTTCGTTTTTATTCATTCGTTCATTATCACTCTTTAAATGTTTTACTTGCATATTGATGACAGATTTCCTAGTCTTATGCTTAGGTAAAGATTGGAGGCAGGATGACGATAATCTAAAAACGCAAAATCTCTGGTCGGTACGCTTTTGAGTAAGACTCTGCTGACGATGTACATGTTACACCCTTTTAAAGTTTCTTTTTCTATACTAGTTTCAATTGCAATTTTTGATTAATCATGGCGATTGAATTTTTGTGATATTGGTAAATAAAATTATTTTTTTTCGAGGAGTTTCAAAAAGTTACAAAGGGAATTAAGAGCTTAATCCTCGTCAAGAAAATTCAAGGAGATTTTGGTAGAGTTTTCTTATTGCTTGCGTGGTTTCGAAGAGGCAACGGACCTTCTCCGTTCGGTATCTCACTTTTATTCCTTAATTCCGCGCTTTATTGCTTTCTAGATACCATGAGAAGTAGCAAATAAAGAGCGTGCGCTCGAAGTCGCTGTTTAAAGACCTGTAGCAGGCATTCTGCACTTCATTTGCTATATGTGTTGTGTTTGTGTTTGTTTACTTTCTTGTTGATCGATGAGTCACTCAATTTAGAAATTGAGATCACGACTTCGCTCTCAGTGCATGCTCCCTATAGGATTTTATCGCTTTTCTTTATTTCCTGTTGATTGATGAGTCACTCAATTTAGAAATTGAGATCACGACTTCGCTCTCATTGCATGTTCCCTATAAGATAGTTTTGTTAGACTTTCTTTGGCATGCTAACTAAGATAGGATCTCTCTAGGTGTGCTCTCTTGAATTTATTGCCTTGTTTGCCTTATCCTTGTACATATCATGTTCTCTTAGGACGTGCTTGCTTCCTTCGGACGCAAGTTAGACCTTAGTTTGTAAGCCATGCATGCTAACATTAGGTAGACGTTTCCCTTTTGTTAATCCAAACCTTAAGACTACCATTGTATGATACCATTAAGTTTAGAAATAAGTTAGTCTCCCTTAGACCCTTTTCTTTCCCTTTTTGCATCCTTGCATCTAAAACTAAAATTTTTTCTTAGCAAATTAAAAACATGTTAATCTCACTTAAACCCTTTTTCAAAGTAACAAAACACAAACCAATTCAAACCACTTTGTGCGCTCGAGCACCTTTTCTCTAAAATCCTTTTCAGGTAAGGACATGATTAATTTACTTCTGTGCCAACGCATAAATCTCCAAAGGTCGAGTTGCGGCAGATGACAGAATTAACATTGTCCATAAAAAACACAAACAAACAAAAATATATAAGCCGAACTACGGTAGCTCTGATTCCTCAAAAAGGATACGTAGG